CCACAAGCTTTGCTGGCTGAGGAATTCTGGGAGTTGAAGTCCACAAGTCTTAAAGTTGCCAAGGTTGGACACCCCTGCCCTATACCATTTCAGACAAATGAGTGTTCAGTCAGTTTGCTGCCTTTAAAAGACTGAGGAAAATCCTCAGGGACGACTCACACCTTGGTCAGCCCTTCTTCACTCTCCTACCATCGGGTACGAGATATAGAAGCATAGCCAGCCGCGCCAACAGGCTGAAGAACAGTTTCTACCTGTGGGCTGTCAGACTCCTGAACGGACAATAACTTCATGTCAACATAGTATGATAGAGTTGCAGGTCCGGCGCGTTGTACAACGAGCTCACATAGTGGGACTGGGTTAGGGACTTCTGTCCTCACTGTGAGTTGTATGTGTGTGCAGGGTGCACAAAGGGAGGCTCAGCCAATCTCATTGTACACATGTTCTACTCTGACAATAAAGGTAATTAATTACTCTTTTCTTAAAAACCTCCAGTGATGGACCACCTACAGTTCTAGAGCCAAGCCCTTCTACTGATTAATTGTTCTAACTGTCAGTAAATTTCTTTTTAGTTCTAGGTTAAATCTCTCTTTAATGTCTTTCACCCAGTACTTTTTGTCCTGCCTTCTAGTGTTTTGGAGAATAGATTAACCCCCTCTTTGTGGCAGCCTCTTAGATATTGGAAGACTGCTATCATGTCACCCTTAGTTCTTCTTTTCATTAAACTTGACATACTCAATTCTTGCAACCGTTCTTCATATGCTTTACCCTTCCATTTCCGAATCCTCTTTCTTGCTCTTCTCTGTCCCCTTTCTAGAATCTCAACATCTTTTTTATATTGTGATTCTTTCATATCTGTGAGACTGGTAAGATTACAGGAAATGTTAAGAAATAGAGATCAAAGAAAAGATATGTTCTGTATCTGCTGGGTCACTAGAAATGAGAGATATTTTAGATTCTAGTAGCTGAAAAAAATCAATCACTCTTACAATACTGTCTCTCAAGTGCAGAGGTGTACAAACTGGAGGCCTAGGATTGCTCACAGTTCTCACAAGCTTTGAATAGGATCTTGGTAGTTTATCATTAGAATTGTCACACATAGAGTCATCAGTGGAAATTGTTTTCATTGAATGAAATGATCAAGTCTGTAGTTTGTTCACTCAATAAATTTCATTTTTTGCTTCTTTAGGCTAAATGGTTGGTCTCCAGAGGATTTTTAGCTGTTAAAAAACTTCCAGATATCTTAAGCTAAAAAGTATGTTCTATATACTTTATGATACAAAGTTTATTCATTTTATTTTAACTGTTTAGTTAGGGGAATGCCCTGTGTATTGGTGATTATTCTCTTTCCTTGTTCCTTGAACTTTATGTCATTTTGTTTTCCAGTAAAACAATAAAGTTCAATATAGCTCATCAAGATTTTCACTTTGTTGAGGTGAAAAAAATCCAGCTTTTCCAAGTTTTCAGGACATGGTCGTTATTAGTTTTGCTTGAGATTCTTTTCCCATATATGTTTTCCCTAATTCAATATTCATTCAGTGTGTGTTGAGAGCCATCTATATATCCAGGGGTGGAATATTCTCAAGAGATGTTTGAAATCTGTTTGAAATTTGAGATCTGTTGAAACAGATGTTTCCTTGCCTCACTAGTTTGCAAGAAGTGAAAATTTTTGGGAAATTTTGATGCAATACAGAAAGAAAGGGTGGGTCCGTTCTTCCCCATATGGATTTGGGGAAAATTAATCTATATTTAATTTGTAGTACATTTTACTTTAGCTTTCATATATAAAAGTCTCCATAAAATATGAATCAATAAATAACTGGATGACCATACATAAAAATGAAAAGTTGGGTTCTTTCAGACAGTTAAGGTACAGTTTGCTGAATATTTTAACCATTTCTACAAATTGCACAATGAAATACTGAATTCTAAAGATAGTCATGTACCTCAATTTTAGCATGTTTAGGAGAAGACAGAAAGTTTGTGCACTGAAAACAGAAGAAACAATCAGTATTGCAGTAAATCAAACAAATTTATATAATCTATTTGCCTTCCACAGTATTATAAATATACAAAAACTTATTAGAAAAAACTGAAAAGGGTAGACCAGGGCTTAGAATACTTGCTTTGCAATGTAAAATCTTTAATGAGTTCCATTTCCTGATTTTGAATTATTATCACTTATCAACAGTTTCAGCATATTCTGATCGATTGTATTTTTTTATCATATTCATTAATTTTGGGGCCATTGCAAGTTTCTCTATCTTCTACATTTGATTTGATGTATTTTCAAAAACAGTTCAATTTCTATGATTCCGTTCAAAATGAAAATATCCTTTGGAAATTGGAAAATATAAACACTGATGTTTCCAAAATTACAGAAAAAGAATAGCTATGGTGCTTTAGGAGAGCCATTAAAGACAAGATTTTTGATAAAGCTCTGAGGGATGTCTAACCTGGTCTAACTTAGATCCCCGTAGCTTGGAAAGCTGTACTCGGAAAGTTTTGTTCTGGGTGATTATCATTTCTTTCTTAGTAGCTTTTGTTATTATTTATCTCTTGTTATTCTCTTGTACTGTGTATTTCACACTTCTACCATAAAAGTTAAAAAGTCAAAGAAATGTAAGTTATTCAAGCCTCCGGACTGCAGTGATAGATAAACTCCAGTACAGAAGCACTAAGTACAAGTGTTAAAATACACACTATGTGTTTTAAATTCACATTTAAACATGCCAAGTTCTATACTTTTAACTGGGAGTGTACAATATTATGCTTAAAAACTCTGCTAAGCTTCCCTGGATGTCATTAATTTTTAATCATTTGTAGCATTCTTAAAAGCTACCACAAAACACCAAGGGGGATCCTCAGAGTTGTATCATATGTTACCAGAAAAGCTGGAACAATAAATTTGACCACCACTCTCCTTAAAAAGTAGCTATGATGAACCAGTAAATACTTTCTCTCTGCTTAGAACCAGTTGAGAGAAAATATTTAAAACATTCAAGTTCATAAAGAATTCTGGTAAAAATAAAGACTTCTGGTATCATTTATGGTCCAGAAAAATCCATTCTCCCTTAGTGTTACTTTAATCTCTTTATTTATTTTTTTCTTATTTGTATTATAATGTTGTTTTATCTTTGTTTATTTGACTGTGTTATTGCACACCACCCAGAATCATGTGTGTGAGATAGGCAACTATAAAAATTTAATAAATAAAAGAAAAAAGAAAAATGGCACAAACTAGTTCTAACAATAAAGCATCTGTAGACTAGAGTACGTTTTGTACAACACAACTTGGTGACTTGAATTAACCCATTTTCTGCTTTTACCAATACGTCACAACAACTTAATGTTTATATCACTATTTTAAGGAACAATTAAGAATATTTGTGCTTGAATTTTTACTTACTCCACTTTTTGCAATTAAAATATTAATTGCAGGAAATTGGATTAAAGGACCTCCAAGGTCCTTTCTAACTCTATTATTCAATTACTCTGTTAATTGAATTTATTTCCAACTCATAACAATAAATACACCTGACTAAATTCAAAGGCTGTGTGTGTATGCGAATTTTACACTAGGTTAGTAATTCACACTGTATCATAAATTAAGCTGGCCTGGAATATGGACTTGTAGATAACTTTCTTTGTATACCTTTGTGATTAAGTTCACCTAACATTAGACAGTTAAAAGAAGCATTCTTTCTGCTGCTGGGAATGAGTTGGGAATCTAAGCTGACTATGCATATTTCAAAAGTAAAGAAAACAGATATTTTTATTTATTTATTTACAATTACAGTGCTGAATTGGATCCTTGTTTAGCATGGTTAACATATCTAATTAGATTAATGAGATAAGTTATCCATGATTGAATGAACTTCCCGTGATGATAGTGAGAACGGAATTCATTCTGGATGCAACCTGTTGTTTCCTCTCATGTACAAATTAATGCAGATCAATTAATCAACCGAAATGCACAGAAGCCATTGATTTAGGCTCATACATGTCAAAGTTGAAAATGCGCCTGAGGGCAAGGACATGAATGGAAGTCCTACCTCCAATGGTGTCTCTCACCACATAGAGTTTTGTTCAGAATCTTTCAGGATGCTTGCTAAGTTCTAAACAAGGTTCCTGTCCACAGCTGATGGACAGTCAAAGATGATTCTTTGCTTTTAAAAGAAATCTTGCAGTTCTCTGTCGGCCACAGAAAATTTCAGAAGTGCTCAGGAATAGCCATTTGCAGAGAAAGAAGGGGAGGGAAAGTCACAAAATACCTTGTGATGCAAATGATGTCTCTTAGGTACTTCCATGTAACACTGCAACGCAAGTACAAAAGTACAGGGTTTACCTTTCACTATCAAAATGATGCCTGTTTTGTCATTTGGTTTTTCTCAGGGGTAGGAATGTCTCACAATGCACCCAGGAATGTTTCAGCAACAGCTCAACCCTAACCTTTGTCCTTTCCAGATTTTGAATCCTCACCTGGATAATTTATTTATGGAGTTGTTGTTTTTCATTCTTTAACCATGCAATGGGTTTGCTTATTGACCAAGTTGTTCTATCACTATTCATATGCATATTTTCTCAGAAATAATCCCCACTGAGGTCACTGAAATTTCCAAGTTAACATGCCTGGGATTACCAACAGTTATGTTGGTAAACTGCCAGCCAGGCTAGAAGGAAGAATTAAGCAAGGACCTTGACTGGAGTTCTTGCACAGTGGCAAGAGGTATAAGCTTCAACTCCCGCAGGATCCACGAAATCTTATCTGGTAGTTCCCAGGGAAAATCTAGCAGTCTGGGGAGATTCTTGTAACATAGGCAGAAGTCAGTCAAGTTGCTAACTTAAAGCTATTCATGAATGACTCTAGTTGCTTATGCCTGACATGTTATTATTTATTTTTTGCCTAGCAGATTACATTTTTTTCCTTTTCCTATGTTTTCCTGTTAGGTTGAAAGGATTGTAGACAAAAGGAAGAATAAAAAGGGCAAATGGGAATATCTTATACGGTGGAAAGGTTATGGAAGCAATGAAGACACATGGGAACCAGAGCATCACTTATTGCACTGTGAGGAATTCATTGATGAATTCAATGGACTGCACGTCACGAGGGAAAAGCGAGCTAAACACGGGAAACAAGCCAACGTGCCCAAATTTTTACGTGAAAGCCGGGGGTCATCTCTGGACAAAATAACCCACAGACCCTCAGACTCTGGGAAAAGCAAAGGACTCTCCCATAAAAGGAAGCGCATGACTTCCACCTTTCAGAAGCCAAAAAAAAGCTATGGAGCGAAAGCTGCCTCTTCCAACGACAGAGCTGCTAAAACCGTATCATACCGGACTACGCCCAGTGGCTTGCAAATCATGCCTCTGAAAAAGCCACACAACGGCTTGCAGAATGGAGATGCCACTTTTGAGAAGGATTCTGCTCACTTGGGAAATGGCTCTCAAAAGGCCAACGAGGATCTGAATGAACCTGAAGGAGAAGCCAATTTGCCCGGCATTCTCGAAGAGAACAACGAGGCGCCCATCATGAATGGTATCAGTATGTGGATTATCTTTATTTGAAGCCATCTTAATTTTTTCTTGTAACTTGGAATAGTATTGCAATAATGATGTAATACTTTAATTGATTGAGTGGTTGTGTGCCATCAAGTCATTGATGACTCTTAGCAATCATATAGTTGTTTTTTCCAGGGCAGTCTGTTCCTAACTTGGTCCTTCAGGTCTTCCAACAATACATCCATCACCACTGTGACTGAGTCTATCCACCTTTCTGCTGGTTGACCTCTTCTTTTTCCTTCCACTTTTCTGCTAATTTGGCCTATTGGACAGCAGGTTAGAAACCAGGAGACCGTGAGTTCTAGTCTTGCTTTAGGCGTGACCTTGGACCAATACCTCTGCCTCAACCAAACCCACCTCAGAGGTTGGTTGTTGTGGGGAAAATAGGGGGAGAAAAGAGTATTATTTATGTTCACTGCCTTAAGTTATTTACAAAAATAATAAAGATGTCAATATCAAATATAGAAATGAGATAAATAAATATTAGATCCTCCTCTAAAGGGCTTTGCTTTATTGATGGATGGATGGATGGATGGATGGATGGATGGATGGATGGATGGATAATCAATTGGAGAGTGAATGGCTAGAACTTTGTCATGATGATCTCTCCTCAGCCACAGAGGTCCAGGATAGTTATGATGTCATGGAATTGATTGAGTCTCCCATTTTCAGTGGTTTTCTTGATGTATTTTGCTGATTTAAGTAAGGACTTGGTATTCTAAAGTCAAGTGCATCTTATTTTTTTAGTGTCCTGCTAAAAATTATAGGAAAATGGACTGCTGGTTTTGGATAATTTACCAAAATTCAGTAGTGTTAATCTGGGTTTTCTCTTGCATTTGTGACCCATCAAAAACTCGTGGACATGAATTTCTGTTTCTGTTCTACTGTTTCATTTTGAGACTGAGCGGTTTTCTTTGCCATGAATCTCACAGATTCTTCTCAACTTTTAAAACTCAGGAATTGACTTGAGTCAGGAGAAATAGCTGATAGTTTCCCTTTGGGGAGTAAGGAGGGCAGAAACCACGTGTCAGCTGGTGCTCCATTCAAAATCCAAGAAAGAAATACTTAGACTCCTTTAATCAGAGAAAAGATATCTTTTACTGGAAATCAAATGGTAGCAACAAAAGAATTCTGAATCTGAGAAAATGGGCATGTAAATCACATATACAAAGTAATGGCAACATTCCCACCCGCAATAGTTCAATTGGCTCATCCAATTAAAAGTTGTGTATATCAGCATGTGGGCATCTCCAGGTGGTGATGAGGCTTCTGTCCGTTGACCTTGACATAGTTTGATAAAGGGCTGCAGCTGCACCTAGCTTAGGATAGAAAACTAAGCAAGAATGTACCCACCGCCCACACACACATCTTATACAGTTCTGGTTTGTAACACCTCCATCTCACTTCCCATAACCATTCCCGCCTCCTCCCCCCGTTACTTATGACAGCCGAAAGATGCAAAGGAAAGGGAGAAAAATCTTGAAGGAAAAATCTTGAAGGCTGACACCATGATGCTTCTCGGTGGTAGAATCAACCCTCTGAAACACTCTTGCAAGTAAAATCAAAGTGCTCCCCTACCTGATTGCATTTAGGAAAATGCAGAAACAGAACTCCTTTGGAAAGCATCTTTGGTTCAAAATTAGCATGTGTTTTTATTTAATTAATGTGTTTGATTCCTTTATGATGTGTTCATTTTAGATGTTTTTAATTAGAAGAACTATAAATGGAGTAGGCTTTTTTGTATAGTATCTTGCAAACTGTTGAGGACCATTCTTGATTGCAGGAGAATATGCATGCAATTAATTAAACTGTGAGAATCACTGGTTGACTATTCTTTTTTCTTGTGCTACCCAATATCCAATTCTTGTTATGTTTTTTTTTAACTTAGTTGATCTAATCTTTGCTAAACTGTTTTTAAAATTCAGAATATTATTCTTTGTATCTTTTTAATCAACATTGAGCCAAAAAAAAAAAAGATGGGAAAGAGAAAGTGGATGTAAGGATAAGAAGGGATCAGCAGTCAAATGTCCAATGATGGCAAAATCCCAACACGGATGAATTATTGTTTCACTGTGAGCATAATAGTCTGTGAAAAACCTGACCAAATAGCTTTATGCATGTTCACACCTTAGCGTAAGTTGTCAATGCATTGAGTGACAAGGAAAGAAATGTTTCAGTTACCTGCTGTATCAGCAGCATGGATTTTTCTTTCAAAAATGTTGCAAAATGAGCTACTAGGATGTATTGAAGAGACATTAATCTCTAAGAGCTAAATAAACATGTAAAACTGTGGCTTCCTACCGATCACCATGGAAAGTTTTTGACAGATCTGTTTAGACAAGATGTGATAAAACTTCAGAAGGAGGCAGAGTTGCATTAAGGAAAATGTTCTGTTCTTGCCATACCACCAAGTTCTATTATACATAAGGCCTTCAGTTTCCATTATCTCAACCATCATGGTTAATGAGAAAGGAACAAAGAAATCATAGTCACACATATCAGAAAATCGCCCTGTTGCTCAACTATGATCCAGTTTTTAATCCCAAATATGTGAACAGTGTTGCACGGGACATTTTTTTTCGACCTAAATTCATATAGTGTTGAAGGTTGAAATCACATAGTTGAGAGAAAGTGTTGCTTCAGGGTGAGCCTGCTTCATATCTGGCATATAATTAAGATCATTGTCCGCATCCAGAAAATGTAATTTTGCTTAGACTTGGTCTGCAGCAATACGTCCTTGAGTTGAGCGTCAGAGCCAATGTGAAAACATCAGTTGGGATGGAGTTGTTGCTCTCAGAATTTGATAATGGCAATTCTACAAACATCTGGTTGGTCTCCTTGAATGTTAGATAAGATGGACTTTTGTGGTGATGAACTCTTTCAGAAGGGTCAGTGCAGTGTGTAAGTTCAGTAGTCAAAGGTAGATGAGTCTAAATCAGAAGAAGATTAGGCCAGAGAAATAGCAGTGACTTGAGATTTGTAAGAGCAAACCATGCTAAGGATATTAGCATTATTTTATTGAGGGTCATCTAGGAAGATTTGGTGCTGTACATTAAGTTCTGCAATGGAATAAAAACAAAGGTAAATGAATAAGGATGCAGCAGAATATCAGTTGAATTGTGATTTGTATACTCACCATTAAACTCTCACAAGCTCTCCAACCTCTTCTCCAACACTACTGACATTGAAACTTTTCCAGCAGGGGTGCAGTGGTTAGAGTGCAGGACTGAAGGCTACTTCTGCTGCCTGCCTGCTGCCTGCAATTTGGCAGTTCAAATTTCACCAGGCTCAAGGTTGACTCAGCTTTCCATTCTTCCGAGATGGGTAAAATGAGAACTTAAATTCTTGGGGGCAATATATTGAAGTCACATGGCCCAATCAATGGATCTATCACTTGAAACCTTGACAGCTGACTCTGTAAACCTCTTAGAGGGGGCTGTAAAACTCTAGAGTCCTCAACGCTAGCTATATTGATATCTATGAGCATGGTGGTGCAGTGGTTAGAGTGCAGGACCTCAGGCTACTTCTGCTGCCTGCCTACTGCCTGCAATTTGGCAGTTCAAATCTCATCAGGCTCAAGGTTGACTCAGCCTTCTATCCTTCTGAAGTGAGTAAAATGAGGACTCAGATTTTGGGGGGCAATAGGCTGGCTCTGTAAACCACTTAGAGAGGGATGTAAAGCACTGTAAAGTGGTATATAAGTGTAAATACCATTGCTATTGCCCTTCCTTCCTTCCTTTCTTCCTTCCTTCCTTCCTTCCTTCCTTCCTTCCTTCCTTCCTTCCTTCCTTCCTTTTCATCCATCCATCCATCCATGCGGTATTGCAGGCTGACTCTGCCCACTGCCAACACTTCAATCCTGACCAGTTCAAGGTTGACTCAGCCTTCCATCCTTCCGAGATGGGTAAAATGAGGACTCAGATTGTTGGGGGCAATAGGCTGACTCTGTAAACCACTTAGAGAGGGCTGTAAAACACTATAAAGTGGTATATAAATCTAAATGCTATTGCTATTGTTATCTTTGGGCCAATTACTTAATTTTCATTTTGACATTATAATGTATCCATTTCATGATGAGTTAGTACACAATTCCAGGTAGTACCTTGGTTTATCTAGACTATGCAATTATAATGATGATGAAATTGTTGTTAATAGTTGAATCCACACTTAATCATACTTAGCAGGGACTTCTTGAAACCATTAATATTTAACATAATTATGAGTAGCGAGTCCCGTTGATTTCACTGGGTCCACTCTAAGTATGATCATTTTTGTTTGCCAGCAGTCCAAGTAAAACTATTGGTTCTCATTTTCCAGCTATTGGGCCCTATGTAACTTGAAGCATCAAGGAAGTTTGCTATTTTTAGATGGCTTTGGAGCCTGTTAACTGACAAAAGGCTTTCCAGCATGTATTCAGGTGAAATGTCCTCTCTTCTTCACACTCCTACTCTATTTGTTCCTTCAGAACTTTATGCTTGGCTGCTCTCATTCAAGTCAGTTCACTCCTGCTGGTAGCCACAAAAGGGAAGCTGGATTCTTTTATTATCATTTTTTATCCCAACTTCTCTGAGGCAGACATTTTCCTCATGAGGTAGGACGCCAGCCTGCAGAGCTTGCTTTGGCCAACCATGCAGTCTCGTGTACAAGAGCACAGCCAAAAGGAGAAAAATGACTCCACAAAATGTAAGAGGTAAGGAAGAACAAAGGCATCAGAACGCCACTTGAAATAAGGGAGGGGAGAACTCAGGCACGTATTAATTAGCTTAATTCATGAATGATGGCGCTAATTTTTTACCTGATTTTATTAAAAAGCCACTCAAGGGCTGGGTGAGCAGTGAAATCAACTAGTGTGGAGAAGAGTGACAAAGATGGTTTTATTTAAATGATTTTTTTTTACACATCTCTTCACGTGAGCAACATGATTCCGGATTATAACACTTGTACATAGTCATATTTTCATTTCCATTAATCTTATATAGTATC